TGGACATTCTTGAGAAATGGGTATCCCTGAGCCTCCAACCTCCCCACCCCACATGCACACGCAACTGAATTAGCGTCCGGGCAACCTCCCCACTCCAGTTTATAATGTTCCAGAGAGGGTTCCTGGGGCACAGCCCTCCCTCTCCTCTCCGTAATCTTCCACCAGCAGCTTATTAGGTTGGGACTTGAGAGTTGGGTGCTGGAGCTTCTCACTCTAGTTGCCCTCTCTGCAATGCGGATACGGGCAGAAGTAGCAATGCTGTTCAGAGAAATCTCCTCTGGGGAGCCCCTGACACAGTTAGGAACCGACGACTCTCTGGCGCTGGGAGATGCTGCCGCCCAAAATAATCCGAAGCAGCCCTGCCCAGTAGAAATAGAATTCAAGTCATATATGTAATTTCAAACTTTCTAGTAGCCACATTAAAAAATCAAAATGAAACAGATACAATTAATTTTAATACTATATTTTATTTAACTCAATATACCCAAGTTGTTATTTCAATATGTCATCAATGTAAAAATCAGTAGTGAGATGTTAACACTATATTTTCATACTAGGTCTTTAAAATCCAGTGTATATTTTACATTTATAGCACATCTCAATTCATCTTATCTGTATTTAGATGGCACAAAATTCACTGTTGAAAAAGATTCACACGTCCGAGTTGTTGCAAACATAAAACGTTTCCAATAACTAAATCAAGTCTATATTTTAAATTTTCAATGAACTAAAATTAAATAAATTTAAAATTCCATTCCTCAGTCTACTATCTACCTTTACAAGTGTCCAATAGCCACATGCGGCCAATGACTACCACATTGAAAAGCAAAGCTCCATCGTACGATGACCCACGGCATAGACTAGGGTCTCCTTGGCAGCGGTGGACAAAGTATCCCCCCAAACACATTTAATCTCAGGGAAATGCCTGTGGAGTTACCCCCCACCACCACCCCTACACTCCTTTCAGTTTTTCCAGAATACCTTCGAGACGTGAGCCCATTACTGTAAGAAGGCTACTGTGCTGGGCACTTCCATAGCTTGTCCAGTCATTAGCATGACAGTCCCATATGTTACCTGAGGAGGCTGCCCTTGGCTCAGTTGTGACAGTACAGGCTGGAGTGTGTGTGCAACCAAGAGTGTGCAAATGTAACTGGGGCGTGAGCGGGTGGTGTTTGTGTGTGAGTTTTGTGGCCACGTGCATGCGCGGGGATGTTATGGGACAGTAGTACAGAGAGAAGAAAATAACATTTATGTCGGTGGCTTTATATATGTTTTCTTATTTAATCCTCACACCAACCCTATACGGTAGGCAGGCATGTTAGCTGATGGAACTAAAGGTCAGACAGATTAAGTTGCTTGAGAACACAGCTAGGTGAGTAAGGGAAGCGCATTTGAACTCAGAGCTGTCTGACTCAGAACTCACACACTTTACACCATACTGTCACACTCACTGTTACACTCTTATAACTCCCTCTCCCAGGGCCTTGCAGTTGCAGGACATGACCTGTAAAAAAGGTGAGATCTTCTACCCCACCCACTCTGAACTTTCAGGGGGCACTGGGGTCAGTTGCTGATCCTCACCTTTCTTCGATGCCTCTAATGTACTTGATTCAGGAAGTTGGAATTTTTTGTTTGTTTTTACTCTTTCTTCTCAGTCCCCTCTCCCAATGTTTTTACTGCCTCTGCCTCAGGAACCAGTAGAAAGGAACAGAAATTCCAGGGATCAGATGGACTAAAGTGAAATACCTGGCTTCCAGCAAAGGAGCCTCTCATAATTAAAAATGGAGGCTTCATTGGACTGATTCTTGATATTAGGGTAAAAATAAATAAATAAAAACAAAATGGAGGCTTCAGGCTTCCTGGTTCCTTTCTGGGTTCTAACCTCAGCAAGCTCTCATGTTATAGAGAGAGGCTGCTCAGGAATTTCCAATATGGCAGAACAACCTGTGAGCTGTTTCAGATTTGAGGAGAGTTTGACTCTGCCCACCTCCTGCCTACCCCTGCCTGATAGAACCTTCCTGAGGTCATCCCACCCTGCCCTCCTCTCACCCCTCCTCTCTTCCATTTCAGACATGGTCTCACCTAAGCTGAGGGAATATGGACCCAAACATACTGTGGCATTGTTTCAACACTCTGAATTTTGGTTCCTGGTACATTCTTTCTTTAATTTCTGGCTCTATCTTCTTGGCCGTGCTGGATCCCTGACTTTCTGAGAGCCTTGCAAGGCAAGGATCCTTAGCTTTTTGGAGTCACAACCTCCTGAGAACACCTGGTGCAAGCTATGAACTCTCCTCTGGTGTAAGCTCTGAACAAAAGTCTTTACACATTTTCCAGTCGTTCTCAAGCCATCACAGACTCCATGGAATGCAGGTTAAAAATCTCTGCTGTGGCCGGGCGCGGTGGCTCACGCCTGTAATCCTAGCACTCTGGGAGGCCGAGACCGAAGGATCGCTCAAGGTCAGGAGTTGGAGACCAGCCTGAGCAAGAGTGAGACATCCCCCCCGCCGCCCCCCACCCCGTCTCTACTAAAAATAGAAAGAAATTAGCTGGACAACTAAAAATATATATATAAAAAAAATTAGCCGGGCATGGTGGCGCATGCCTGTAGTCCTAGTTACTAGGGAGGCTGAGGCAGGAGGATCCAGGAGTTTGAGGTTGCTATGAGCTAGGCTGACGCCACAGCACTCTAGCCTGGGCAACAGAGTGAGACTCTGTCTCAAAAACAAAAAAAAAATTAAAAAAATTAAAAAAAGAAAAGAAAAAATAAGCCGCAAAAATATGAACAAAGTATATAAACAGATGATTTACAAAAAATTTGCCACTTAAACATATTAAAAGATGTTCAACTTTACTTATAAATAAGAAAAGTGAAAAACCTAAATTGCAATGAGATATCATTTGCACTATCAGATTGTCAAAAATTGAGAAGTTTGATAACATATTGTGTAAGTGTGCTATCAAACAGCTAATTCCATTGCCCTGAGTAGAGTGCCCTGGTCTCAGTGTAGCTCACAGCAACCTCAAATTCCTGGGCTGAAGAGATCCTCCTGCCTCAGCCTCCAGAGTAGCTGGGACTACAGGCATGTGCCACCACGCCCTGCTAATTTTTCTATTTTTAGTAGAGACCAGGATCTTACTCTTGCCCAGGCTGGTCTCGAACTCCTGACTTCAAGTGATCCTCTACACCTCAGCCTCCCAGAGTGCTAGGATTACAGGCGTGAGCACCGCACCCAGCCACAAACAGGTCCTTTTCACACATTGCTGATGGGAGAGAAAATTGGTACAATTTCTGTGGAAGGCAACTACCAAAACCCTTTTCAAAGATTGCTGGTGGAATAAAAATTAGAACGATGTTTATGGAAGGAAGGTAATTTTGAAAATTGTATTAATCCAAATGAAAAAAACTGTGCACACACTTCTTTGACCTAGTATTTGCATTCCTAAATATTTATCATACAGATATACAAGAGTGAAATGAAGTATACCTGCATATCGATATAATGTTAAAGAACTAATTCAATATATCTTAATATATCCCTCAGGCATTTTATGAAACTATCACCATGAGGCAGATAGATGCAGCTATAGAAAGATTCCTAGACTATATAAAAGTCAGTTGCAAAATAGTATGTATGTTAACAACTGGGTCATTACTTACGTATATACGTTAACGTGTGAAAAAATTTACAAGAAACTGATAACACTAGCTGCATTGAAGATATTCACTGTAATCACTTTGTTTCTTTTGAATTTTGTAGAATGTGCATGTATTATTTATTCAAAACACATTTTTAAATTAATAGAAAACGAAAAACCGAGGCCCAAAGACATCTCCCTAATTAACCAAAGATGCAATCTTGCGTTCATTCAACAAACGTTGTTTGATATTAGCTAGTGCGGCAGATCTCCCAATGACTAGGAGTGCCGACTCCTTGCCCCCAGGGCGAGGGCGAGTGCGGGGCGGGGAATAGGGTGGACCGGGTAGGGCGCAGAGCTGGGCTCGTGAGGCCCCGCGGCGCAGAGGCCGTAGCAGGACCCAACCGTTCTTAACTGTCCAGGGACCCAGACCGCGGCTGGAATTCAATTTTCCAAAGCAAACCTCTAGCCCGCACAGAAACGGCCCCTTGGCTTGAGTCTTTGGGCCTTTGGCCCCGACCTGTTTCCCTCAATCCCCAGGGAGGGGCGGGCCCCTGGCGCCTCTACTGCCCGCAGCTCCCTTACCCCTGCAGTCGGAACTCGGGTCTCATCGCCAGCTCTCCCGCTGCTGTTTCGGTCCACACCATGTTTTCATGCCTCAGCAGAGAAACAGAAGAGTGGGTCCTCGCTCTCTGCGGTGCAATGCCTTCCCCTTGACCTCTCCATCTACGAAGTCTATTTCATGTTTTCAAAAAAAAAAAAAAAAATGTTTCCCAGGTCTTCTGAGCCCGTCGCTATATGGGGGACCGATGGATGCAAAAGATCGCAAGAGAAACAGTGATGGAGCGTCGCCCATTATGAGGCTGCTTTCCCAATGGTCACTGGGTTGTGGAATGGCACTGGTTTTGTACAAAGACACCAATATGCGAATTATGACACCCATGAGTGATTCAACCTTCTCACCCCTTGGTCCCAGCCTCGGGCGCGCTGATTTTACCCCAAGGCTTAGGAGACCGAAGCCTTCTCGGTAATTGGCCGAGAGGTGGGCTGAGAGGACTCCGTAAAGCTTCTAATTGGCTGTTTAATTCTCAGCAGGTGCAATCTCAATTAGCAACATCTGCTTTTCTGGCCCTTATTGGCTGACAGGGTGGGCCGGCCTAGGATTCCATCCGGGTAATTGGGCATTAGCTAGCAGCAGCTACGTCGCTCAGGAGCAGTTCGCAGAAGGATTGGTTGTGGCAGGGGAAGGCGATTGGTCAGACTGCAAGCGGGGTGTTGATTGGTAAGGGCGGGCTGCCGGGGCGGGGTGGTGGAGGCTGAAGCGCCGCCAGCCGGGCGGGGAGTCGTGGTGTGAGTGGTAAGAGGTGGCGGCCGCTGGGGTGAGGTGCGAGGCGGAGCGCGCGAGGACTGACTCTGGAGGAGCGGTAATCCAGCCCGAGGTTGGGGGTGGCTGGGCCGTGGGCAGCCGTGGCAACTGGGACAGGGAAATGCGGGGCTGAGGGGAAGGGAGGCGTCCGACGCGCCCTGGGTCGAGATGTGGTTGTGGGGCCCAGGGCGGGTGTCAGAGCCCCGGGCTGTGAGGCTGTACTTGGGCGTAGATTTACCCTCCCGAGAACTAGTAACCCTATCCATAGGAAACCCTCCGGTCCTGGGGTTAGGCCTCGGTGGTCCGGGTGCGAGAGCGTTTATGTTTGCCCCGAGTCAATTTGAACTCTTTGACCCGGTCTTCTTGAGACCGCGAACCACCATCAGTTTATCACTTTGTTTTTAATTTTTCTCCAGCTTTTTCCTATTAGAGATGGCTATTTAGAGAAGTCATAGTAATACATTGGGGTTTTTTATTCCTCATTTCAAAGCCTTGTTTTTAGATCCTTAGCTTGAGAGAAATGGGTTGAGGCTCTTTCTTACTCATGATTTTAAAATAAACCTACCAAGGATGAGAAAACTGAATGAGCAGCTTCAACTTAACAAGCATGTTACCATGTTTTAGGTACTTCCTAGGTTCTGGTTATTAGTAAACAATGGAAGGAGATACCCTTGCCCACGTGGAGCTCAGAATGTGATTTGACTCCTGAATGTTTTTTGAAATGATAATACAAATGTATGCCTTGGTTATGCCTATCAGAAAGCTGTTGACAACTGTTTAATACAAATGTCAGGGAACTTCAAAGTTTACTTTTACTGAAAACCATTATCTAGCCACATTTCTCATTCAAATGACCCGCAGATGTCTCCTCTTCTCAGCTTCCCCTAGAAACTGGTCTTTTTTTTTTTTTTTTTT